CCCGAAAGTGTTTTGTTTTAAATTTATTGGTCGACTTATAGGTATGGGTTAGTGTTGGTAGTAGCAGTCAATTGCAAGCATTGTGTAATATGTTTTGTATATGTGTTTCTGCTCTTTATAACTTTATAATATTGAGGTTGTAATAATAACCCAGGACGGCAGCATAAGCAGTTATTTTAACAGTAAACTTTAACATACCAGCTGAGATTGTTTGCTAAACTTACTGCATGCCACATTTTTTCACAGCACACTGAATGGCATTGCAGGTCACTGCATGGCAACGCAGTGCGCCGCACTGCTGGGACCTGAAAGGAGTGTACACAATGTACACTACCAATAAATGTCAAAAAATATAAACAGTGACAGCTCTGGAAGTGTGCAATACAATGCATACTGCCGGAGCTGCCACAATGCACTAGCCCGTCCACTAAAACGCAGCATTTTGGTGGACGGGTTAGCGTGAACAGGCCCAAAACGTAACTTCGGCATATGCATTCTGTCGTTTTAACTACCTAAGCTGTTACAGGTTTATTTAAAATCTGTGAAAGTGGTGGGGGTTGAGGTGCAGCCATATATCCTTGCTGACATAATCCCAACATTTACCTGTTTTTCTGAAAACTAACTGTATGGTGTTTTTTATTTGGTGTCCATGAACATGGTGGGACATTTCCTATCTTTATTTCCTATCATATTACACTTTTGGATTGTTGGAGTGTTCCTGCTAGACTTGAAGTAACTTACAACCCACAATCTGCCCTCCCCACACCTATTTTTTGATTAAGCTTAACACTATACTAAAGACATTAATTTTTGAGAATCATATAATTAATATACAGATGAATCTATACCAAAAAGTAGACTCTGTAGTACATATTTAGTAGTATTATGTTTATATTACCTGAGCATCAAATCGGCCAGCATTGTGCAAGAAGGTCATGCAGATCTCATGAAGGCCACGGATCTCACATGAGTTGTTCTCAAAGCATTCAAAGACTCCGCATCCCACATCACCAGCGCTGACTAGACAGTGTTGGATTTCCGCTGTTATTATAGAGAATACTTTGTCAAAAACTATTACAATCACATGTGTTCTCTCTCTTAAAAAAAAAAAAAATACACATACTGTATATTAATGATAAAAGTCATCATATTATCTGTTATCATGAGCATTGTCACCATCCATCACCATCCTGTGGAGTACCTTTACTTTCCCACTCAGAAATAAATATAACTTTTTGTGCTTAGTTAGGCCTGCAATTAATTATGAAATAAGATATCAAGAATGGTTTTGTCCTTAGTTCCATTATCAAATTTGAAATTCCTCCTGAACAATCCTGCCTGCTGCTATAGTTCAGACGTTTCTCCTGATGAATCCTGCTTGCTGCTACAGTCTCCAAAATTCCACCTAATGGATCCTGCTTATTGTCTCAAGCAGAATTCCACCTGCTCCTGGATCCTGCTCAAGTTTTCAGTTCCTATATTCCACTCAATGGATCCTGCTTATGATCTCGGTTCCTAAATTCCACCTAATGGATCCTGCTTATGGTCTCAGTACCTAAATTCCACCTAATGGATCCTGCTTATGATCTCAGCTCCTAAATTCCACCTAATGGATCCTGCTTATGGTCTCAGTTCCTAAATTCCACCTAATGGATCCTGCTTATGGTCTCAGTTGCTAAATTCCACCTAATGGATGCTGATTATGGTCCCAGTTCCTAAATTACACCTAATGGATCCTGCTTATGGTCCCAGTTCCTAAATCCCACCTAATGGATCCTGCTTAAGTTTTCAGTTTCTAAATTCCACCTAATGGATCCTGCTTATGGTCCCAGTTCCTAAATTCCACCTAATGGATCCTGCTTATGGTCTCAGTTCCTAAATTCCACCTGATGGATCCTGCTTATGGTCTCAGTTCCTAAATTCTACCTAATGGATCCTGCTTATGGTCTCAGTTCCTAAATTCCACCTAATGAAACCTGCTTATGTTTTCAGTTTCTAAATTCCACCTAATGGATCCTGCTTATGGTCTCCGTACCTAAATTCCACCTATTGGATCCTGCTTATGGTCTCAGTTCCTAAATTACACCTAATGGATCCTGCTTATGGTCTCGGTTCCTAAATTACACCTAATGGATCCTGCTTATGGTCCCAGTTCCTAAATTACACCTAATGGATCCTGCTTATGTTTTCAGTTTCTAAATTCAACCTAATGGATCCTACTTATGGTTCCAGTTCCTAAATTCCACCTAATGGATCCTGCTTATGGTCCCAGTTCCTAAATTACACCTAATGGATCCTGCTTATGTTTTCAGTTTCTAAATTCAACCTAATGGATCCTACTTATGGTTCCAGTTCCTAAATTCCACCTAATGGATCCTGCTTATGGTCTCAGTTCCTAAATCACACCTGATGGATCCTGCTTATGGTCCCAGTTCCTAAATTCCACCTAATGGATCCTTGCTTATGTTTTCAGTTTCTAAAATTCCACCTAATGGATCCTGCTTATGGTCTCAGTTCCTAAATTACACCTAATGGATCCTGCTTATGGTCTCAGTTCCTAAATTCCACCTAATGGATCCTGCTTATGGTCTCAGTTCCTAAATTCCACCTAATGAAACCTGCTTATGTTTTCAGTTTCTAAATTCCACCTAATGGATCCTGCTTATGGTCTCAGTTCCTAAATTCCACCTAATGGATCCTGCTTATGTTCTCAGTTCCTAAATTCCACCTAAAAGGATCCTGCTAATGTTCTCAGTTCCTACATTTCACATAATGGATCCTGCTTATGGTCTCAGTTGCAAAATCCCACCTAATGGATCCTGCTTATGGCCTCAGTTGCTAAATTCCACCTAATGGATCCTGCTTATGGTCTGAGTTCCTAAATTCAACCTAATAGATCCTGCTTATGTTCTCAGTTCCTAAATTCCACCTAATGGATCCTGCTTATGGTCCCAGTACCTAAATTCCACCTAATGGATCCTGCTTTTGTCCCAGTTCCTAAATTCCACCTAATGGATCTTGCTTTTGTCCCAGTTCCTAAATTCCACCTAATGGATCCTGCTTATGTTTTCAGTTTCTAAATTCCACCTAATGGATCCTGCATATGGTCTCGGTTCCTAAATTCCACCTGATGGATCCTGCTTATGGTCTCAGTTCCTAAATTCTACCTAATGGATCCTGCTTATGGCCTCAGTTCCTAAATTCCACCTAATAGATCCTGCTTATGTTGTCAGTTTCTAAATTCCACCTTATGGATCCTGCTTGTTTTCTCAGTTCCTAAATTCCACATAATGGATCCTGCTTATGGTCTCAGTTCCTAAATTCCACATAATGGATCCTGCCTATTGCTTCTCTTATGTTCTCATAACTCCTCCTAATGAATCCTGCCTACGGCTACAGGCCTGCGAATGCCCCTGATAGATCCTGCCTATGGCTACAGGCCTGCGAATCCCCCTTATAGATCCTGCCTACTGCTTCAATCATATACATCCACCTGATGGATCCTTCCAACTGCTTCAGTTGTGTAATGTCACATGATGGATTCTGCCTTCTGGTTTAGTCCCTTAATTCAATTTGATGGATTTCACCTACTACTTCAATCCTGTAACTCCATCTGATATATATGGCCTACTGCTTTAGTCCACTAATTCAGCCTGATGGATCCTGCCTACTGTTTCAATTCTGAAATACCTGATGCATCCTGGTTAGTCCAAGTACATACTTTAAAACACCAGTAGCCATTCAACATAGAAATATTAATCTTGCATTGACTGCATTTAACTGTTAGGGTTCATTTCTTTTAATGAAATAACTTGACTCAAAGGTAAGTGCAGGAAAGATTTAAAGTTTTGTACCTCTACTCCTTTTACATGTGACATGTTTATGGTAATGCCTGCTGCTTTTTGTGCCATTCAACCATATACACATTTGACCCTTATTGAAATAAACTTACATGCTATTGTCTTACTTCAACACTCTGGTATAACCTTTGCCTGGACACTAGCAGTCATCGATTCTAGAGCCTTGCCTGTATAATTTAATCATCAGATGTGTGTACAAGTATTTGTGGAACAACGTCACCAGTGTAATGATGATGCATTCATGGTTTCTGAAGTCTGGTGATAACAAATTCCTCCGCCCTTGAAAGCCTGAAGTAACTTGAAACAGGTTCAAATTCTCAAGTTCCCTTTAAACACTTTTACAGTCCAACTGCATCACTGCTCATTTCAGCGATGCCAGTCACCATCTGATCTATTATTTAAGATGTAACTGAAACACTGTCTGAGAGCTTATTACATTTCGCTTCTTAGTTTAAATTAACTTGTTGGCAACATGTGGATCAGTGTGGAAGAGAAGAAAATTACAAGTAACATGGCCTGGTACCTTTCATGGTGCATTTGCAATAAAAAAAAACTCACAAGAATAAGCAAATATAATGACACACCAACCACTATAGGAAAAATGGGCATAGTTGTATGTATACCCATGCTATGGATATGAGCCTGTGAAAGGAATATAGTGGGTACAAGTGCTGCTCTCTCCATATCTGAGCCCACTGCTGTTTTGCGTGTTGGTTATGTGATTAGATGAAGCACTGAGATCTTGAGGAATGCTGAATTAAGTTTTACTTGCTTATGAGGACATTACATCTGAATACAGCATAGTAGAGAGGAGAGGGTGGTATTACCTTTGTTGCCTGAGTGGATCTTTTAATTTCAAGTTGTTCAGCAGATTTGTACACGGAATTTGAGTTATTCATTGCGAGTTCCACTTCTTGTTCTGATTCCTGTGCGGCTTCACTTTGCTCAGTTTCTTTTGCTGGTTCACTGGCCAAATTCACTTCACAACGTCCCAGGATCACTGTTTCTTGTGATGGGCTCTCATCAAAATAAACACTGCGGCTCATCGTCACTTTGTCAGTCTTTGGGTGGAGGATTCTATATCCCTTACTTTGTCCATTATAGCCTACCAGAATACCTTCAATTGCTGTGTTCTCCAACTTGGATCGCTTCTCCTTTGGAATATAGACGTATGCTTTACTTTCAAATACTCTGATGTGTCCTAGGCTAGGCTTTGATCCATGCCACATTTCAAATGGGGTGCTTTCAACAGCTTTCGATGGTAGTCTGTTCTGTAGGTATGTTCATGACTGCTTCTCCCCAGTACTTCTTAGGTTGGCGTCTGACAGCGTGTATCTGGCCATTTTTATAAGAGTGCGATTTTTCCGTTCTGCTACACCATTTTTTTTCAAGAGTGTATGGTGTGGTGGTCTGGTGTATTATGCCTTTTTTCTTCCGGTATGATTCCACTTCTTTACTGATGTATTCCCCCCTGTTGTCGGTGCATATAATTCTTGGTTTCGTTGGAGGTTGTTGCTGGACATAGCTACAAACACTTGGAAGTTTTTTCGGATGTTTCATTCTTGTGCTTCATCAGATAAGTTGCTGTGTACCTGGAATAATCATCAATGAAAGTCAGTAGATATCTGTTCCCGCCTGATGTGGGAGTTTTCATTGGTCTGCACACATCGCTGTGTATGAGCTCTATTGGGTGGGTGGTTTTTCTTTGAGTGGTCTGTAGAAGTGGGGTACGTGTGGCCTTTGCTTCCCTACATGAGGATTTGGCAGGGCAGTGTGGATATATACTGTATCTTCTGATAAGCCTCTCTTTATAATATCCTTTATGGCTTCTGGGTTTCCGTACCCTAGTTATCTGTGCCATAGGTGGATACATTAGTTGTGTGCATTATGAGTAGCTGTCTTGACTTGTTCATCTGCAGTGATGAGTATGTATAGGTGTTCATCCAATTTTCCTTTTGCGAGGAGTTGCTTATTGTTTTGCATTCTACATTCATCACCTCTGAATTGAACTGCGAGACTGTTATTAGCAAAGGTATTCACTGATAGAAGGCTTCCTTCTAGGTCTGGGACATGCAGTAAATTTTAGATGAGGATACTCTGCTTGTCCCCTGACTGTGTGATGCAGTTCAAGAATCCTTGGCCTTTCCGCCTGCAGTAACACTTTTCCCGTTTGCTAGGAAA